AACTACTTGCTCGATCTGAGAAATATTGTCACATGTTACATCAATGATATGTTATAAGACAGGTGAAGTATGAAATGTTTACCCTGCCCCCACGAAAAGAGGTTTTATATGCAGGGAACCTACATCATGAGCATTGTGTGGAGGCTGAATAGTTGACACCCGCGAGGATAGTGACATCTTCAAGAGTACTCTTTTGATGCTCAATAGTGTCAATAACTTGGAGTAGATCAGGAGGAGGGAGAATCACTACCTCTGGGTGAGCACTTTGTTTCTTTGGTCTTAAAAGGGGATGTAGATAGTGACATTGAGAACTGGAGTGGTCGAACATATGATAATTCAAGCAGTATGATGGGAAAGACTCAATTGCAACCCTTTATCAATATCCATGGTGTTGTGTGTCTAACCAAATTTTCTCAAAAGCGATTGAAGTGATGTCTTTTTTAACAAGTACCCCGGCTTCAAAGCAACGAGAAAGATTAAAAGTACGAATGTCTGTTTTGAGCTGTTTATCATAGGCTGATGCAATAGAGTACAACATTTCTTGAATAAAATAATGAAATTTCAGGCCAGAGAGGTGAGTCTAGATCGAAATGGTAGGTGGTTTGGTATGTGGGTCAAAATCCACCAACTATTTCAAAATCTTCATTGCTCTGTTATCAATCCAAATTAATCTTCTAGCAAATACAAGTGTGTGATCCTCTTCATTATTAAGTTGAATAAGGATGTGTCTTACATCTAAAAGTATAATTTTTCATTCCCTAACAAGGTGCATAAACTCAAATTCTTTATGAATAAGCTCCATTTTGGGATGACCATAAAGAAATTTCCCTACCAAATTCAGAAGAGAGGAGGAAACAAGTTGATTACATTCAGCTTTCGTAAAAAAGATGGTTGACTTCACATTCTTCCTACTGTGTTTCTTAATGTCATACGCCAATGCAAACAAAGGAGGGAAGGAGAACAATTTAGGAGTACCTGAGGCGTGGACACCCGCAAGGGCATCAGCACACGTTCTGTCCGAAGCCATCACCAATATGAGGAGGCGCATCGTTAGGAACATTGAAGTTACGGTGAAAGAAAGAGCAAAAGCTGAAGGAAGATCAACGGAAACCCCTTCAAAGTCGAGCAGAGGACGAAAGGTGCAAACTTCCTTCAACGAGCATCCGAAACGAGACGTTGCGAAACATTCTTCTTTGAGCACGAGGAAGGACGAAGACGAGACGAGTCCGCGGTGAGCAGATGCAACATAATCGTCCTTCAAACGGGACAAAGGACTACGACGAGATGAGTCCACGACGAGCAGTCGCATCATCAGAATTCATCCACCAATCGAGACGAAAGACTACGACGAGGCAGACGTAGTGAACGAAACACAAAACAAAGGAGCCGAGGAGCGAAACCTCCGAGCGTGACGATGCGAGACAAGACCGTAACATACGCTAGGGTTCACCATGAGGCGAAACCCTAGCAGAGCCGTGCACGGGAGAAGAAGGCACCATATATATATATAATTTATTTTTGTTTGTATTCACATTTCCAATTTTTTCTATGATAATTTCCACAACAAATAAATCAATCGAATGTGTCTTTTAACATATATTGTTTGAAAAAAAAAATATAAACTATTGTGATTGCATTGAAATAGGACTTATTAAAGGAATAAAAATTATTAAAAAAAGAGTGGATCCAAAGCTAAAATTAAATACAATTTGAAGCTGAACAACATAAAAAGAAACTATAATTGGGAATATTTTGGCACATAATTGTCCCTTTTAAATGAATTGCTAAAGGCTATTAGACGAGTCTCGATCATTCCTAAGCGTGCTAAATATTTGAGTACCACACCCTACACATGGGGGGGATTCAAACCCATGACCTGAGAGGACTTACGACCTTCAGAGAGGATACTCTACTAGATATATATATATATATATATATATATATCTCCATGATGATTATTTCAAACCTAATTTAAATTGTCTGTGGACTATTTTGACAATTCTATAAATTCTTAGGCTAAAAAAGTCTCATGCAAACAATTGAGGACTATTTTGACACATTACTCATTAAAAAAAATATATTTAGTAATTTATATTTTTATTGTGAAACCTAAAAAAAAAGATAAAATAATATTGACACATTAATTAGTGTCAACTCGATTCTCATCTCGTATTTAACTAAGTCGGGAGCGCAAATATAGGGATGAATGACTAAGGCACATATTGAATTAGGATTGGGCCTATTTTATCATTCACCTCTCGATTGTTAAAGTTAAGTATATTATAGTGACATATATCATCAATGGCAATGAGAATGCCATGGACAATAAAGAAAGCCAATCAAATAGATTAAGAAAACCTAAGGAAGCTAAAGGCAATAAAGGCTAGGAGGATCATTTTTCTAAAATGGAAGCACAAAGATAGTTTTTTTATGATTTCTTTTTAACTATTTCTTTTGGACTTGAGCCCGAAATTAATGATTTTCAATTTTTTTATTTGAATTTATTAATATAATAAATTAAAGCATATGATGAAAAAAACATTATAATTTATAGGATTAGAACATTAATTTCAAGTTTTCTTTAATTATTAAAAAAAAAACCATAACTAAATTACCATATTCAAACAAATATTAATACAGCAATAATTTGAAATAATAAAATTATAAAATAAAATATTTTTGGAAATTCAATATTTAAGAATTGGGTATTCCATAATTAAAAAAAACAAAAGCTTTCCAATGCTATTATGGCTGAAGTACATTGATTAGTTAGATTTATGAGAAAATATTGCATTAGGACTCCGCACGTAGAGTTACATGCAGAGTCCAATAAAATCACCCCACATGGCGGTGGCCTGAAAAAAAAATATATATATATATATGTCCGGTAACAAGAGAATATTTCTCCCGTATTATTCAGGTGTTATTGTGTGTTATTCGTGTGTTATTGTGTGTTATTTATTTGTTATTGCGTTATTATAACATTGAGAATACTCCTAGAACACAATAACAGCTGAATAACATACGATAAAATCTGAATAACATAGAATAACACGAGGGGATATTCTGACATGTTACCAGACCTATTTTTTTTTCTGTACCTCCACGTGACGTGATTTCATTGGACTCAACACATAACTCTACGTGCGGAGTCCTGATACAATAATTTTTCCAGATATATAAATAATAATCCAAACAAAATAAATTTTGATTTGCCTCAAAAAATCAAATTGATTATAATCATGATTAATGTATATCATTCTGTTCAAATTTTGACTTTTTAAAACTTATATTTTTCTCGAGTTTAAAAAACAATTTAGGTCAAGAAATTTTTTTAACTTAATTTTTAAAAATATTTTTCACATCTAAAATTAGATTTAATTAACATAAAATTCATTTATAAAATTTTATTTATATCAAAATTTAGATTATAAAGTTATAATAAAAGTTTATTTTTATTTTAAATAGATTTAAAAATAGTAAAAATTAGTTTTCAAATAAGTTTAAATATTTTTTAATATATATAATCCCTGTTATTTGCTCACATCCATATGAAAGATAAACAAATCTAAAGATTAACAAATCTATTGAAAGAGAAAGAACTACAAGCTAATGAAAATGTGCGGCGAGAATGAGACGAGAATAGTCATAGTAAATAGAACAGTATATTTAGGGCTCTTTAATTTGCTGAAAAAGTATTGCAGTGTAAAATGAATGCATTACAAAAACACTCTAATATATTTGAAAATTTTTAGAATTATTTGGTTCAAGGTAAAATAAATATATGACTTTATATATATTTTTTGTTTAATTTGAAGTAGATTGAACAACAATGCATTTCAATTTTTATAGGGTACTATTAATAGATGGTGGTTGGTGTTTGGCGCCGACCACAGAAAATTGATGTTGGCTATTGATGGCAACGGCGACGGCGACAGATGACATGCAACAATGGAGGTTGGTGGCGGTGGCAGACGATTGGAGACAATGATGACTAATGCAAAAAATGAGTAATGACAGGCGGTTGATGACGTTAGAGCGAATGACAAGCAGAGGACAACTGACATATGGGGGTGCGGGCGATGATGGAGGGTGTCAGGCAGCAGGTTTTGACATTCCGATAACATTTTACATTAAAAAATAATATAGATCTCAAATTCCACAAAATCGGCAAATTCTAAATTCAGTCAAAATAAACTAAAGCGTAAACTTCAAAATAGTTCATATTTTACATTCTATTTATAATTCTTCATATCAAACACATAATTTTTTTAAAAATCCACGCAAAAGAATTACAATACACTTCAAATTCTCCCAACCAAACACCCCCTCAATATATTTTAAAATTCTAAGTGTTAAATAAGTAAATAGAAGAATTTAAGTCTAATGTATGTATGTAGATCCATCAAATATATGAATCTGGCACTTCATTAAAATATTTATTCATATTTTCTTACTAATATTTCATTCAGAGAGGTGGAAATTTTCTTAGCAAGTGAAATGCAGCTTTGATGGTTCATTCTAGCCCAAACATTCACACATGAATTCAAAGCAATCTTCTATAGGATCAAATCTACTCAGCTCCAACTTTGGTAGAGTTGGACCAAATTTGTCAATCATTCATCTCACCCAGTAATCTAACCCATAACAATTGTATGAGACCGAACAAAAAATCATGAAAGGTATGCTTCAACCATCAATTAAATTATTGCACTTCATTGAAAAAATCTTTATTGAGGGAAAATAAGTCTATGTTTGGCCAAAAATTCTCAAATTTTCATTTATGCTGCATAAAAATGGAAATAGAATGATAAATGCAAGATTAAAGTTAATGCACAACTAATAAAATGACACCATGGTTGTACCAATTGGTTATATGTTGGTCCCAAAAAAGGAATTAGTCAAATCCAAAGTTCCAAACCCTAGCTAACATGCTCACATGGCATGCCAACCAATCATACTACAATTGGATCGAAGGATAAAACTTGGATCTGAATTAATTGGCGGCATCGATCATGGATTACAAAGTCGTATCTTTCTTTCATTTTTCCTTGCAAAAACTGAACTTTTTCACTGTTAATTATAAAGTGACATCTTCCATCATTTTTCACTGCAAAAACTCAGCTTTTTCACTTTTTAATTGATTAGTTATTTTCAGTAAAAGAATCTCAAACCGGCATTCCAAATTTGAAAACTCACGTCGCCGCACTATATAATAATATGCAACAATCATTCCAATCCCTACCTTCAAAGCAGAGATTTTTATTCGAGTCTCGAGCTAGAGAACGAGCCAACGAACCAGGGCGGCCACTGATGGAGAAATGCAAAGATTTGTCGGAAATGAAGGAGTGGTGCCGTGCAATTCCCAAGATAGAGCTCCACGCTCACCTCAATGGCTGCATCCGAGACTCCACTCTTCTGTGCTTTTCCTTCTCCTTCTTTCTTATCCTCTGATTCTTGTGAAAGTTTTGAGTTTTTTTGCTCTTGATTGAAGTTAGGTTTTTCCAATTGTCTGCTAAAGATTATAGCTCATTAGTTCAACCTCAGTGTTTAAAAAAACTAGCTATTGTAGGTTTTCCTGTACTCAATCTTTTTGATTCTCTTTGTTCATGGATTTCAGTTACTTATTTTTATCAACTCCTACAGTCTAAATCCTTTATTCCTGGAATATCACTTTATAGGGTTAGTTTTGCTAGGCTTACTTAGTCTTAGATGTAAAGTAACATTGTATGGCTGTGCATGTTTAAAAATAGTTAATTAAAATTAGCCTTGAGGCATAAAAATGATTAGTTTATGTTGTGAGAGGATTGATTAATATGTTTATCCAGTGCTGATCCTCACAGCAATCATACCATGACTTTGTTCATCAGGCATACTTCTCTTGCCAATGATGAATTAACTCGTTAACAAATTAATTATGTTAGCAATTGTGGCTTAAATTGTTCATCAGGTACAAATCTTCTCTAATATTATGGTTTAGCTATTGCTATATGATCTACTCTTCTCACTGCTGAAATCGAAATATTCAGTGAGTGGTGAACAAATTTTAATTTTAGAGACAATTTAGTTTTTAGCGGAAGCTTTCTTTTGATGATTGGATCTGATATGAGGTGTTTTAAAAATCATCATGATTCTGATTTGTTTCCTTATCCTGGAGGATGGAATGTTGAGAAAAACTGTAGCAAAAAACTGAGATAAGGTTGCCATTTGCTTTTTGGTTTGTTTTTTCTTTAGGGGACCCAATAATCAAACACATGGTTATGTTGCGGAACCTTGATCAAATTTAGGGTCCCTTCGAGTGGTTGTAGTTCTTTTTGTAAATATAGTTGTAAAGTTATGGTAAGTAAAGTAATTTATTAGAAAACTACACTGTGAATTATAAATATTTATATTTTTCCAAAAAGTTAGACAACAATTTTCTTATGGTCACCGCATTTTAATATATTTGATTGTAATAAATAACTTTTCATTACAAAAAAATTAAAGAAGCTGCCTGAAACATTTTCCAACCAAAACTGTGGTGACGATCTTAAACACAAACCAGGTAGAAAACTATCCCAAATAGACTCTTAGTCGTAAACTCACGTACAATTATATATGTGCATGTCTCGAGTCCATGTTATTCTTGCTTTGGGTGAACCATGTAATTTGTAAATCTCCAAATTGCCTTGCTTCAAAATTTGTATTTCGACACTAACTCCCCCTCCCTCGAAAAAAGAAGGTAAAATCTCTATATCGCCTTTTCCCGCATCAAACTAATGGTGTGGTTTGTTGGTGGAAAGCACATTATGTTGTAACTGGATAATCATAAAAGTAAGGCAGTTAATTTGATAGTTCTAAGTGCATTGAATGCTTACTCTTTTTTCCTTTTTTTGTGGAACCAACTTTACTATCTTTTCATAATTGGCTTCATTATTATCTTTATATGGCTACAAAGTGGGGTCTACATTTGTCTTTGTTTGATTTTTCTGGCAAAATAAGTCGCATTTGTTTGCTTGTTACATTACAGGCATGGCCTACTTTGCTTTTATCCATTTATTTTTTATAAGTTGGATATGACAATCTTTCTTTTATAATTTATAATTTCTTACTGAGTCTTACTTCTTTATTTTGAGAGTTAAATAGGATTCTACAAAGTTTTTGTTTGTAAAACTTACTAATCAAACTGTTAGTTCTTCCCATATGTGTTACTGATACTTATTATTGTGCATTCCTCTAACAGAGAACTTGCAAAACTGCTTGGTGAAAAGGGTGTCATCAATTTTGGTGATGTAGAGCATATAATCAGAAAATGTGTGTTGGACTTTTTTTCTCCATTTTGACTCTTTATAATTTATATTTGAACATTTTTTTCTTCTTTTAGATTAGATATTTCTAATTAGAAACTGCCTAATAAGTTAACTAGAAGAATTTTAGTTTAGTGAAGAATTTAAACGGAAACCACTTCAGTTTGTCTTTTTTTTCTCAAAAGAAAACTGCATTTTATAAATTATGTTATTGTTCATTACTGAAATATGTATGTTTTCTAACAAACTGAACAGTCTTGTTATTGTTAAATATCAAAATAGTCCCCTGAATATTCATGTGTGGCCAATTTAGCCTCAGAGTATCACATTTTTCCAATTAATCTCTATACTATACAAAATTGATCGAAAGCGGTCCATCATATAAAGTTTGTGATGCAAAATTTTTCTAATTCAGTCTCTTCATCATGCAAAATTGATCTCAATTAGTCCATTAGGCACCATTTTAGATCAATTTGGTATAGCAGAGTTAAATTGGAGAAATGTGATACACCGCTGAAATTATATTTGGCTACATACAATTAGTCCGGAAACTATTTTGAAGTTAAAAAAATTTATACTTTTATAACAACACTGATCCTTCTGCTCTACTTGATATTGCCGAAGGTGGTCGATCCCTGACGGAGTGTTTCCAGCTTTTTGACTTGTTCCACATACTCACAACCGATCACGAAACAATATCACGGATCACGAAGGAAGTATGTTAAGTTCAGTCTACCTTCCCACTTTTTTTCATCACTGATCTGATATTAGATTCTGCCAAATAGGTTATTGAAGATTTTGCCGCTGAAGAGGTCGTTTATTTGGAGCTAAGGACAACACCAAAGGTACATTTTACAAACTTTTTATTTAGGAAGAAATAGAAACTATGTTCTTTTATACTGATGTTGATTCACATTAAATGTAGAGTAATGAAGCAAAGGGTATGACAAAGCGTTCTTATATGAAAGCAGTTGTCAATGGTCTTAGATCTGTTGAAACTGTTGATGTCTCTTTCATCAACTTTAATGGAAAGACAGAGAACTTCTGTGAATCAATGCAAAAAAGTAGTAAAACTTGCATGGAAACAAAAAAGATATATGTTCGTCTACTTTTGAGTATTGACCGTCGTGAAACAATGGCAGCGGCAATGGAGACGGTATGGTTTTTGTTTTTTTTTTCCTTGTTGTATATGCTCATAATATATTGGCAAGAAAGTGGCGTGCCTTCGAAAACTTGAAGCTTTTGTTTTAAAACTTGCATCTTTTGTGAATTCATTTTTGTTTTCTATGAAGGGTCAAAGTATGTGGTGAATAACACCTTTAGAATAGTGTAGACACACACCTCTAGACTTGAAGGCAATAATCTTCTCCAACGATGTCATAAAATGAACTTTTTTCCTACTTGGCTTAGGTTCTATATGGAATTGTTTGTCCCGCTATGTTGTAATATTAAAGTCCCGTGATATGCTGTGTTGTCGAGTAATGCAAGCGTTTGTTTTATAAAAGAGAAAAATATTAAAATAGTCTCCCGACTCTTTGTAGAAAGTCATTTAGTCTCAGATTTCATAAAAGTGTTAATTTAATTCCCAGTCTTATTACATATGCACTGCAATAGTCCTAGGGGTGGACTATTTTAGCCCCAATTAAAACTATCTGATGATTAATTTGACATTTTTATAAATTCTGAGATTAAAATGACCGCAAGTAAAAATTCACAATAGCATTTTTTTTTTTCTGGTAAGCTACTTCATTGGTCGCTCTAAGAAGTGTGCTCTTCTTTTTTCATAAAAATGATTTTTTTTCTTACTGCTATTACCCCAAACACCATAAAACAACTACTGTTCTAAAAAATTATGCCAAAAGGAAACTCTTTGTGTATAACTACATAGCTATTACTTCTCTATTTTCTAACATTCTCATCCATAGTTTTCCATTTACAGGTTTCTTTGGCTTTAGAAATGAGAGAATTTGGGGTGGTTGGCATTGATCTTTCTGGAAATCCTGTAGTTGGGGAATGGTATAATTTTTTTTTGTTCATCTCTAATAGAACTGAGAAAACTGAAAAGGGGCATTTACATACATTCCACCCATTCTTATGCATATCTAACACCTAAACTTTACACATTACATATATATCACCGAAATTTTTCATATCACATAAAAAATACTACCATTTTAACTTAAAAAAGGTAAAATACATCTTTTCTTGCATGGATAAGATGGAATGTTGAAGTTTAAGTGTTAGATATGTAAATACATAAGAGTTGAGTGGTATGTATGTAAATCTTCCTAAAAAAACATCCTTTTTTCGCTACATGACTTACTATTTTGAACTTCCATGTAGGACTACTTTTCTGCCAGCTCTGAAGTATGCTAAAGAGCAGGGTCTTCCTGTAACTCTTCATTGTGGAGAGGTGCAATAGAGTTTTGGAAAGATTCTCGTTTTGCTATGCTAACTTCTCCTTTTTTTAGAGAAAAGTGTCAAAATTGTCTCCCGACTCTTTCTATGGGTTCATTTTAGTCTCAGAGTCTATAAACAGTCAAATTAGTCCCTAGAATTTTCTTAGTGGGGCCTAAAATAGTTCACATTGGGAGCCATTTCAGCACATAATAGAGTCTAAGGACAAAATTGACATTTTTATAGATTCTGGTACTAAATTAACCCCATTTTGTTGAAGTATTAGTAGACTAACTTATTTAGTGTGGCAACTTAGTGGTTTTAGGTATCCAACAAGATGGAAATCCAAGCAATGTTGAATTTTTCTCCTAATAGGATCGGTCATGCTTGCTTCCTTGATGAGGATGATTGGCATAAGGCCAGATTTTTACGCATCCCAGTCAGTATATTTCTTCTAACTTCGCCTTTTATTTTCTTCGTTGCATTTGTTTGAATTTTCAATTTTGCATGCAGGTTGAGATATGTTTAACATCCAATCTCAGGACAGAACGTTTCTCATCGATAGATTTACATCATTTTGGTTTGTCCTCTTCTACCTTATGATTTGGAATTACTTTTTAGGGGAATTTACCATCACTCAAATCAAGTGTACTTACAAGTTTAACATCTCAAATCTACTTTTTACATTCATACCACCGAAATCCTTCGTATCACATCAAATATATGATCATTTGAATTTTAAAATGTAAAATACACATTTCCATGCATGGGTAAAGTTGTATGCATGTAAAAATTGAAGTTTAGGTGTTAGATATGTAATTACTTTGGAATTGAGTGGTATGCATGTAAATCTTCCTACTTTTTAAAGAAGAAATTTCTCCTATGTGACAGGAACATGTAGTTTTTCATTACATATTTGTTAGCTTATGCTATTTTAATCTAAAAGAAGGGCCTTTCTATGATCTGCTTCATGTCTTCCATGGTCTTCTGAGGATCTTAATTATGTTCTTAGAACTGTTAATAAACTCCGTCAAATGGTTTTAATGCTCGAGGTATGAATGTAAAAAATTAAAATTTAGGTGCTAGATATGTAAATACATAAGAATTGGGCGGTATGCATGTAAATGCCATTTTGATGCAAGGAGACATTTTCTGTCTGATTTGGTAGGAAGGGCATTTCATAACAACTAATAACAATTTGATTAGTGATAACTAATGGTGAAATTATTTCACAAAAGACTATGATTTTGCATACTAATTTGTTTTTGTTTCTCAACTTTTTCAGCTAATCTTTACAATTCCAACCATCCACTGGTCTTATGCACTGATGATACAGGCTTGTTCTCCACCAGCCTTTCCAACGAGTATTACCTTGCTGCTGAGACATTCGGTGGGCTTTCTTTTTGAATAAATCCATATCCATAATCCATGAGAAGCTTATATGTTGTTCTTACTGGTTTTATATCTCTCTTATAATTTCAAGGACTTGATAAAAAGGACATATTTAAGCTTGGGGCAAATGCTATTGAATATGTTTTTGCTGACAATGAGGTGAAGAAGGCAATTAGAGAAATCTTTCGGGCTTTCGAGAGAAGAATTGCTGATTAGTTTCCTTCATGGAAACTATGAGTAGGCTTATCCTTTATTGAAGCTTTTAATTAAAATATTATAGTTGATGTATGCTGACATAGTTATTCTTTTAGTAAAATGTGATGTCAGTAACATCATGATTAGTCATAAATGACATCATGCGTACACTATTATCTTTTAATGCAATTATCTTTCATATTATGATTTGCGGTTTTATTATTATTGTTGTTGTTATTATGGTTGCACGGTTTTCACACATTACCTTTGTCTTTTAATGCAATTATCTTTACTCTCTTCTCTGTGACTTTTGATGCATAGGTTTATGACGCCAAGTTGTTATGACTATAAATGTCAAACTTTGGTTGTTAGATATGTAAATGGATGAGAATTGTGTGGTATGTTTGTAAATTTCTCTTTTTTATTTGTTTGTGAGGGTTGGTTAAGTAATTAAGGGCCCAAGGTGTTTTATGTTTGTCTTGCTATAAATACCCAAGCTTTATAGCTGAAAATAATTCAATAAGTATAAGATATTGACTGTTGGATCCAGAAGGAGACAATTTAGATGCAAGAACTCTTCTTCAGGTTCTCCATTATCCATTTTTTGCTTCATAATTTACTTTATTTGAATAACAAATAGAGATCAATTGATATACTTCTGAATTTCTTTCAGGCCAAAGCTTCTGCATCTCGCTCTGGTGTTTTCCCGATGAATCCGGTGATGAATTCGTCCTGTTTGGGATTATCAACTGATTTGACTCCGCGCCGCAGTTATCAAAAGAATAGACACTTTTCTCAATTCAGCAAGCCTGAAATAATGGGAAATTTACGTACATACCAGTCAATTCTTATGTATTTACACATCTAACATGTACACTTCAATCTTTACATCCATGAGACCTTATCTATGCATGAAAAGCGTATTTCAGTTTTTTAAAGTTAAAATGGTGGTATTTGTGATGTGATATGAAGGTTTGTGTGGTATAAATGTACAATGTAAAGTTTAGGTGCTAGAATTGAAAGGTATGTATGTAAATTTCCCTTGAATAATCCATGCGGAGGCTGTTTGGCGGATACTATTTCGTATTATAGCAAGAAAGAATTCCAAAAATGCAAGATATATTGGTTATTTGATCAGAAAGGAGACATTTGAGGCACAATAAGTCTTTTTCAGGTTCTTCTCCATTATCCATTTCCTGTTACAGAATTTATTATTTTTGAATGATAAATAGAGAGCTGTGGATTTACTTCTGATTTTTCTTTTTCGGTAATTCTCATGTAAGTTCTTGTAATTATTTCAGTATAAGAGTTCTAGTTATTTGAATCTCATTTCTTCATGGTTTCAGTTAATTGTAAACTTTTGTTTGTTGTTTACCCTTGTAATGACTACATTCTAAATGCATTTAGGGAATTCAAATCTCTAAATTATTATCTTAGGGATGTTTCGTTTGATGAAAAATAAATGCAATGTAAAAGAAATAAAGTGTAATTGATATGAAATGTATTTGAAATGCTTTAAAGTTATTTGATTTGGTGTAAAGTAAATGCAGGAGTTTTTATTTTGGTGTTTGGTTTAAATAAAAACGAAATCAATGTAAAACATGCTTCGCAATGACAACGGGGTTGTTGACAGTGGGTGGCGGCTGGCTGATGTGGTGGTAACTACAGGCTGTAGTTTCAAGGCATTTGGAAATAGGTCAAAACTAATGAATTCACAATACACTAGTATTGAACCACAAGGTGATATCTAAATTCACCAAAATGTTACATGGTTTTCCTTTTTTATTCAACCAAATGCCAAAATTTTAAAACTACCTACATTTTATTTACTTTGCATCAGAAATACAGGAGACCAAACAACAATGTTTTTGAAATGTATTGTTTTCTCTTGTTCATATTTGCAAATTTTGCAAATAAAAATGTTCCCAAAGATGGAGGGCATTTGAATATAGAAAAAAAATAAGAGAGATCCACCAAATCAATTTTTTTGATGATAATTTAATTCCTCTGTTGTTATCTTATTATTATTTTATTAATGGAGATGAGTTCCTCCATCATACTTTGGGATAGATACACTAGAATTTTAAATTCTCTCTTTTTAGCTTGAATTTAATCTTCATTTGTCTTGTTTCTAAAAAAAAAAAGGATATCGAGCTCAAGGAATCAAGATTTATTAGTTTGTCTAATGATGCTTTCAAAATTTGTGCTATGATACTTGGTTATGTACTTAAAGTTTTTCTATTCAAATTGGTCAATGTCTCTGAAGGCTTTTGTTGCAAGAAAAAAAAAATGAAGAAAATATTGATTTTATGGTTGCTATCAAAACATTTATTCACTCTACTATGAAGCAAATTGAGAATTTCATCTTTAAAAGATTTGATAAAATTATTTTTTTTAGCTAAATATGAGATTTTATTTTATTATTTTCTCTTCATGTTTTTACAAACTAGATTTATCTCTTGGATTATGGATTCACTCTCTCATTCAAGTTACTATCAATGGAGATCGTAACAAATAATTTAAAAGTGTTGTCATATGGCTTGTTTCTTTTAGTCCCACATTGGTTGTGAATGTGGGAGGAATAGGACCGTAGGCCTATAAAAGGGCCTTACCTTTCTTGGTTGAAAGCATCCCAACAATCTCTCCTTACTTTCACAAATATTTGAGGAAGCCTTGGAAAATATATCCTAGCAGTGGGTGATTTTAACTAATTGTCTAAAGTTGTATTTTATATTTTAAGAAGGATGTAGGCAAGTTGACGAATCTCATAAATTTTGGTGTGTTCTCTCCTTTTCTTATGCTTTAGTGTTTTGGTATTCTTTTTTCATCTATAGTAGTATCAATATGTGTATTTAGGTTTGGAGTTATATCACTAGTAAATATTATTCACGTGTATAGTACTATTCACTAGTATTGTTCATAGTGAAGTTGTTCTTATAGTGGAAAATACCCGATTTTTTCAACAAATGGTATCAAAGCTGATGGGTTGTCCTAGTCCTTGTATTTCTTTGTTTGTGATTGAATACTGCATTTGATTTGTAAAAATGACAAACACCAAAGCTTATTGTTGTTAGAACATCATCCTCTTCATAACCATGGATGAGGACTATAATGCCAAGTGCATAACTTATGATTGAGGTATTTGATGGTACTAGTCATTTTGGCATGTGGGAAGGCAAGGTGTCAAACTCACTTTTCCAGCAAAGTTTGGACATTGCCATCAAAGTAAAGAAATCAGATGAAATAGAAACGTAGGGATTGGAAGATGATAACCGCTTGGCATGTGGAACAATTCATTCATGCCAGTCAGAGAGCAGAAGTACGGATTCAAAAAAGAAACTTCTGCTTACAAGTTGTGAAAGGTGTTGAGAGACAAATCTCTCACGAAGAGTACTCAGAATAAACTTTTGATGAAGAAACAATTGTTTTAATATTAATATCGCCCAGGTAACATTATGAATGATTACAATACTGCATTACATCAATTAGAAGCAAATTTTGTTTAACTTCGACAATACTTTTAAGGATGAATGTTTGGTTGTAATATTTTTATTTTCTCTTCCCGATGAATTTGAACATTTAAGTACTGTACTTCATGGCAAAGAAGAAGTATCTCTTGTTGTAGTTTGTGTAGTTTTGTATAGTTTTTAGTTGAGAAAAACTAACAAAAAAGAAAGTAAGAATGTAGTTGCAGATGAAGCGTTTATAGTGAGAGTTCATTGGCAAAGCTAGAAGAAAGGAAAAAGATAAGAAGAGGGAGATCTCGTTCGAAGGCCATACTTGGAAAGGATGACTGTGTCTTCTGTCATGAGAGAGGACACTTGAAGAAATATTGTCCAAAACTAAAGAAGGAAAAGACTGCTCTAGATGCATGTGTCGCCGAGTGCGATAGTAATGAGACAAAACTATCGGTAATTGCTTCATCTTTGACGACCCATTTTGACGAGTAGGACCTTGGACTCGAGATGCACTTATCATATGTGTTCTATTCGAGAGTGATCCTTTAATTTCAACCAATTAAATGGTAGAGTTGTTTACACAGGCAATGACAATCTCTGCAAAACAAGGGTGATATAGTCATTTCAATTAAAGAATCATGATGGCTCAACCAAAATTCTGACAGATGTTCTGTGTAGGTCGAATTTGAAGAAGAATCTTATCTCATTGGGAGCCTTGGAGTCCATAGATTTAGTTTTGTCTAAGCGAGATGAAAATCTAAAAGCTACTTCTAGTGCACTTATGGTGATGAAAAGCTTTAGAAAAAATAATTATTTATATTACTATCAAGGTATTACAAAAGTTGGAATAGCAGCAACAACCTCTAGTGAAGACAATGATACAAAAATTACCAGGTTATGACATGCATTTAGGACATTCTCGTGAAAAATTTTGCAGACTTTAGTGTAGCAAGGATTGTTGAAAGGCGCAAAAGCTCGCAAGTTAGATTTTTGCGAGCATTTTGTTTTGGAAAGTAGAGGATAGTTAAGTTTGGCACCACTATTCATGACATAAATGATATTTTAAATTATGTTCATTCAGTTGTATGGGGAGCTTCCTAGTCACTATCACAGAGGTAAACATTATTTTGTAACATTCGTTGATGAATTTTCCAAAAGAGTTTGTTCATACATTATAAAGACAAAGGATGAAGTGCTTGGAGTTTTCCTTAAGTGGAAAACCATGACTGAGAACCAAACAGGAAGAAAGATCAAAGTACTCAGAACTAATAATGGTAAAGTGTACAAAAATGACTCATTCCTCGAAGTTTGTCATAAGTTTGACATTATTCACACTTCACTGTTAGAAATACACCACAACAGAATGAGGTATCATAGCACATGAACCAACCCTAGTGGAAAAAATTCATTGAATTGAGCAGACATTTTTGGGTTCAAGTTGTGACATATGCTCAACACCTTATTAATCGCTTGTCATTGTCCGCAATTGGTGGTAAAACACCATTGGAGGTATGGTCTGGTAAACATGCTACTGGTTATGATTCATTACTTGTATTTGGTTCCACAACATACTACCACGTGAAGGAATTGAAGTTGGATTGAGACAAAGATGGCTCTCTTTATGGGAGTCGCCTCCAAAGTGAAGGGATATTGCTTGTGGTGTCTAGAATCAAAGAAGACAATTATTAGTAGAGATGTTACCTTTGATGAATCTACCATGTTAAATAAGGTAATATAAGAGAAGATCAATGATACTCTATAAAAGGTGGAGTGTACACCAAAACAGATGGAGTTTGAACAAACAAGAATTATTCCAGATAGAGAAACAACAATTGATAGTGACACTCTAGTAGCAAAGGAGTCAAAAGAAGAAGAGGTTTCAACCTAAGAAACACAACAACAATCAAAACTAATTCTAGTTAGAAAGCCCTTTTAGTTGTAGAAGATGATGTTGCATCCATATATCAAGAACTACTCCAGAGTCCAAAAAGTGTGAAGCAGAAGAAAGTCATGCAAGAAGAAGTGCAGTCTCATCAGAAGAACAAAACTTGGAAGTTAGCACAATTATCGAAGGTTAAAAAGGCAATTAAACGCAAATGAGTATTTGTGAAGAAAGAACGATTTCCTTAAAAGAACGACATTCACTATAAGACAAGATTAGTGGCTAAAAGTTATGCTCAAAAGGAAGGAGTTGAATATAATGAGGTATTTTCTTCAGCTGTAAAACATTCTTTAGTTAGAATTTTACTAGCCTTGCTGGTGCATTTGAATTTAGAGCTGGCTTAACTAGATGTGAAAAATGTGTTCTTAAATCGTGATTTGAAAGATCTATATGAAGCATCCATAAGTATTTAAGGTTGTTGGATAAGAAAATTGAGTTTGTAAGCTAAACAAATCACTATTTGGATTGAAGAAATCTCCAAGGCAGTCGTAAAAGCAATTTGATAAGTTTATGCTGAGACAAATGTACATCATAAGCAAGTATGATCGCTGTGTGTATTTGCACAAGCTACAATATGGTACTTTTATTTACCTATTCTTATATGTTGATGATATGTTAATCGCATTGAAGAGCCAAGTTGAGAAAGAGAAATTGAAAGTTCAACTGAATCAAGAGTTCAAAATGAAGGATTTAGGAGAAGCTAAGAAAATTTTCGGAATAGAGATAAGCAGAGATAGAACACTAGGCAAGCTTTGTTTGACTCAGAAATAATAGTTGAAGAATGTACTACAACGTTTTAATATAAGTGAAGATTCAAAACTTGTAAAAACATCTCTTGCTCCTCATTTAAAGCTTAATGCACAATTATCTTGCAAGATTGATGCAAAACAAGATTACATGGCGATAGTTTTGTATGCTAATGTGGTGAGTAATTTGATGTATGCAGTAGTGAGTATGCGGCCTGACGTTTCACAAGCAGTTGAGTTGTGAGCATGTATATGCATGACTTTGAAAAGAGTCATTGGAAAACTGTGAAATGTATTCTACAATATTTGCAAGCCACTGTAGATGTTGGTTTGATGTTCGACAAGTCACTTGGTCAGTTCATACTTGATATTGTGATTTTGACCATGTAGGTGATTTAGATAAGTGGTGATCTATTATGGTTATTTGTTCACTTCAGCTAAGACGCCAATCAGTTGAAAGTCAACATCGCAATCAACAGTCGATTTGTCGATGACAAAAGCTGAATATATGGCAATCACAAAGGTCGTTAAGGAAGCAATATGGCTTCAAGAGTTGCTTGAAGACTTGAGAGTGGGTCAGGAGCACATCAAGATGCATTGTGACAGTCAGAGTGCTATTCACTTAGCAAACAAAATCAAGTTTATCATGCAAGGACAAAACAAATTGACGTTTGTTGTCACTTTGTGTAGGAAGTTCTTGAAGAAGGTGACTTAATCCATCAAAAGATCACGATGAAAGAGAACCATGCAAATATAATGGCCAAGGTGGTGAGAATAGTCAACTTCAAGCATTATTTGGACTTGGTCAATATTCTGCGCCAGTTCTCCTATGGATAACTTCATTTGCTTAAGGACATTTCGAATTTGGGTTTGACTAAAAAATCCACCAAGGTGGAGATTTGTTGTCATATGGCTTGTTTCTTTTAGTCCCACATTGGTTGTGTCTGAGAGAGGGGAAAGACCTTAAGCCTATAGAAGGGTCTTAGAGCTCATGATTGAAAGCATCCAAAAAATCTCTCATTACTTGGTCAAATATTTGAGGAAGTCCTTGAAAGGAATCAAAGGATATCCTAATCGTGGGTGATTTTAACTGATTGTCCAAAGTTGTAATTTATATTGAATATGGTGAAGTGATTTGTTGTTGGGTGCCCAAGGACGTAGGCAAATTGTCGAATTTCATAAATTATAGTGTGTACTTTCCTTTTCTTATGCTTTAGCATTTTGGTATTATTTTTTCATATATAGTAGCATTCAATGTGTATTCGGGTTTGTAGTTATATCATGAGTAACTATTATTCAAGTTTATAGTACTTTTCATAATCCGCAAAGTAGATCTCCTATTTTTTTTATTACCATTTATATTTTTTCTCAATGTTATACAATGCTTCTATTGAGAGTTGGATACATAGCCATGACTTCAAATATAGCAAGCCACTTATTAGCAATCTCCAATTCACAAATGATAGTTTATTGCTTTGCGGCGCTCTCCTTATCAAATAAATACTCTTAATAACATTATGACCATCTTTGAAGAAGCTTATGAGCTTAGAATCAATTTCTCCAAATCTTTCTTTCTTCACATTAATTACTAGTTTCAATAAAGTGCCTTCTCACCAACCTTTTGGGTTGTTCCCTCAAAACCATTCACTTTGAATCTATAAGCATTTGAACATCTCCTTTGCATCTAAAAATCCTCAACATGATTTTGAAGCACTATCATAAACATGATTTATTTGCAGCTCTCTTCTTGAAAGATTCGCTATAAGATAGACTTCAAAGAACTATTGAGTTGTCTTCTTTTTCGCTTTCACTTTTGCTCATATGAAATTAAGAAATCCTACGTGTTTTCTCACAAAAGAAAAAAAAATAAAGGGGCATTTACATACGTATCACCCCAATCCTATTTATTTACATGTTTAACACGTACACTTTACTTTTTTGCATTCATACCGCCCAAAATTTTCATATCACATTAAAAAAATGTCCTTTTCTTAACTTCTAAAAAATAAAATACTGATTTTCATGCATAAGAAAGGTGAAAAAAAAAAAACATTTATTTTCTAGTCCTATAGAGTTTTTTTCTCAACTTCCATCTCTTTAGACTTGCTTTTTTAGAGTTTCTTTTATTTTCTGATTATTATGCTCACTAACTTTATTTTGTTCAAGATTTTTCACTAGCTACTGCTGATTGTATGTTTGTTTTGTATCATCATATGTTTCAAGTCTTGATATCTTTATGAGCCAAAGTGGTGTATGAAAATATTGGAAACTATACATAAATACCACATAATTCTTATGTATTTACATACACAACACCCCAAGTTTGATATTTATACTAACAATATTTGTGTCATAAATAGGTAGGTGTATATCACTTTTAATAACATGGTGATACTTGAGTGATAGGCGTGTTAATATGAATATTTTAAGTGTTAGATGTGTAAACACATAAGAATTGTGTGGTAAATATGTAAATACTTCTAACATATTAGATAATAAAACCTTCAAAATCATGACTTGCAGTGTTTTTGAGCTCAGATTCGATATTCAATTTAAACCGATTTAAAACAAGTTAATATTCCATCATTCTTCAATAGAAAATTCAATCAAAAGGAGGCTAAGCTCAACTCCCAAATTTGACTTCATTGCAATTCGGTTTGGAGTTTGTTGTTGTTCTAAAGGCAAGATGTGGAGGATTAAGATACATAGAATCTATTTATGTTCTACTCTTGAAATTTTATGTAGCATGAGCATAACATAATCATATACCTTTTGCCAAAACTCTACCCCACTATAATCTCTTTAGATTATAGGGTCGATTCGCTCTACTTAGTATCTTGTGAGTATAAATTAACTCACCTTAGGCTCGCCTTTTGTTTGCCACCACGGGTTCAATCTTGTGTTTATAGTGGTTTTCATATTTTCTACGAATAACGTTAGACCCAACAATTACTAGGTGATTCAAATTACAAATATGGGAAAAAATAATCAATGGCAAAAATAAGGCTAACCATCTATTGTAACAAAAGATTACAATGTAAACACAACCATTACAAAGTTCTTATTTTTTTGCCCGCCAAAAAGTTCAACAACAACAACAAAGCCTTAATCCCACTACGTGGGGTCGGCTACATGAATCTTTTTTCTCTATTACGTTCTATTTATTGTCATATTTTCATTTAGTTCTATTAAATTAAGATCATTTTTTATACAATAAGCCCAAGTCTCCTAGGTTTCTGCCTAGGTTTACCTTTGCCTTTCTTAACATAAGTCGAATCTAAAATATCTACTCTCCTAATCAGATCATCAGATAGTTGATGTTTAATGTGACAAAACCATCTAAGACGACTCTCTCTAATTTTGTCTGCCACTGGAGCTACACCAACCCTATCATGAATATATTCATGATCTTGACTCAAAAAGTTCGAAAGTCGAAATTTATATTATGTCAGCGAGAATTGGACTCAAGAGCTTGACAACAACTTTCAAAGCTCTCATCCACACTGGACTACTTGATACATAACAAGTTGTTTAACTGTCCAATATGATAGAAAACAAGAAACCTAACATAACACTTTCCATTAACAGGTTGTTAACTTCTCTGAATCACATGTAAAACTCTAAGAATATGATAGAAAACACAATGAAGAAGACATGAACCAACAAAATGTATAAAACAAATAGATTACAACAAAAATCATCTGTATTGAAAGTGCAAAGTTTCTCCAAAATAATCAATGCAATTTTAAGCTCATAGAAATGACTACATGAACCTTATCTACAACAAGAAAAAAAAGCTCTCCACTCTGATTAACAAAAAGCCTAACATAACAAAAATCATTAATGGGATGAAATGCCCATTGAGATAGAAGAACCAATTTGCAGCATGAGAGGATAAACAGCACTAAACTCCTTGTCTCCTCTACCCCTAACCTTCATCTCATAATCATCTAAGGTTGCTTTGATACCTTTCCATGCCTGATCCTCTCCTTGGGAATCAAGCCACAAAGAATACTGCAGAGGGGTGAGCTTGTTTCTCTGCATAGGCGACTGCAACTCATCTGGGCCTCGAGAGAAGAGGTGGTGAAGTATCACACTCGCCGGCAAATCATTAAGCAACGGTGAACCCTGAAGCTGAGATGTCTCCAAGAAGATCATGGGACGGAAAGCTCGAAGGGATCGATACGGAGCTCCCAACTGCTCCACCGGAAACAGGTTTTGGCCGACCGCCAACTCGAGCTCCGCCATATCTCTCGCCATCCTCAGTTTTCCAGACTCGGACAGAGGCCGAACCAAAGCAGCATGCCTGATGAACGATATCAGAACACGAGAAGCCATTCGGCGGACAAGATCAGTGCATATCGTCTCTGACCGGGAGGTGGAGGCGGGCAGAAGCTTCGATAGGAATTCATTTCGGAAGTGAACAGCGCATTTTTGGAGCTCGTCCACGTAAGAAGAAGCATGGTTATCGATTGATGAGTCGATGCCATGTGATCCGAAGTCCTGATCATGGATTTGAAGGATGCAGGACTCGAGGCGGTCGAGCATGGATTGAAAAAGGGATGTCACGGAGTCGCAAGCGACTCCATAGATGACGCCGAGCGAAGGGGAGAGAACTTCATCAGCGACTGTTGGGAGGGAGGATGTTATGGCGGAGATGCGAATATGGATTTCTTGCAGATGTTGACAGAGAGCGAAGTTTTTTAGCTGTGCTGGATTTGCAGGACCTGTTACTTGACGGGCTTCAGGACCAGCAGATATCTGCCAAGCAGAAGAGAAACAATTTAGGACTTGCTGCTTCAATTTAGGATTGAAATCTTGACCTTCACTAGTTTCTTAAAAACAGAGTAATTCTTGGCAGTATGCAGATTATGAGATTATTTAGGTGAAATTTTATAAAATAATATATAATATGGATCTAAATTTTAAGAAACAAAGCTATCATTGACAACTTCATCTAGTAAATAGACTGTTAAGATAGATGTCTGAAAAAAACTAAGAAAGAAGACCAGGAATGTAGCGCACCGTTAATTGAAAAAAGGGGCATTACATAATAGCATATATTTCTTATATGTCTACATATCTCACATCTAAACATTCATACTTACACACCGGTACTCAAATCTCTAATATCACATCAAAAACAACACTACTATCACTTTGCAACAACAGCAACAACAACAACAAACCTTCATCCCACTAAGTGAGGTTGGCTACATGAATCATTTTTCTCCATTGCGTCCTATCGAGAGTCATATTTTCATTTAATACTAATATATTAAGATCATTTTTTATACAATATGCCCAAGTTTTTTAAGTCAACTACTGCCTTTCTTAACATAAGTTGAATCTAAAACATCGACTCACCTAATCGAATCATCAGATGGTCGACGTTTAATGTAACCAAACCATCTAAAATGACTCTCTTTAATTTTGCCCTCCACTGGAGCTACACCAACCCTATCACAGATACATTCATTTCGCATTTTATCTCGAAGTGTAAAGCCACTCATACACCTAAGCATTCTCATCTAGGCAACACTTAACTTAGTTTTATGCTTCCCCTTTAAAGGCCAACAACATTTAGCGCCATAAAATGTAGGTCTCACCATCTTATAAAATTTTTCTTTCAGTCTAAGCGGTACTTTTCTATCACACAATAGGCTCGAAGACAATAGGCT